AATAGTATTTACAAAAAATAATTTTATTTTATCTTATTTTAATTATAGTAACGACAGTTTATTTGTTTTTCGGTGAGAATACGATATGTCATGAATCATAGAAATCAGTAGAAAATATTGACCGCTTGGAATGCGTATATCTAATTACTAATTGCAACTTAAAATAATACGATGTGCGTATGTCAGCGATTTTATGCCGTTCTCTGACTACATAATGATAATAAGGCTTTTATTTAGTAGTTATTCTGACTTTACAGTTAAATGTTAATTGAAAATGAAAATTCAAAAATTAAGCAAAGGAAATATCTTGGACATCCGTGCAAAAGAGAGTGTCTGAGAGTTTTGGCAACCCATTTAACGCAATTTGAGGTAATAATATGCTACATGTTCAATTCAATTTGAGTACTTTTGATTTTTCAGCCGATAAATTAATACCAAAACTTATAGACCAAGAAGTTAGTTCATTTACTGCTTTTTGTAGTTGTGAACATAAGTTCACCGAGGCAATATAAAACCAGGTGGTCAGCATATAAGTTGTACTTCACTGGGCTGTGATTATTCTTGCAAATATTATTGATAGTTATTAAAAAGTGGAAGTTAAAACTAATCTTAGGATTAAAAACGCAATTGAACAGATAAAATAAACGTTTTTGTTAATATATACTTGGGTAATGACTGTAGTATTATTCAAGATCATATTAGAAACATGGGCAACTATATCAGAGATGCCAAAAGAATTACTAATGACTAAGGACAACAAAGATCCTTGATGCCAGTAACATAGCTCCTGCTTTTATTAATTTAAATGATTAATCAAATTGTGATTTGAATTATGAATCCTCAAGACATTGAGAAAGCAGTTTAAGTAAGCTGCTGTAATGCCTGGGTTATAAAACCAATGCGTTAATAGTTGATAAAAGTTCAACAAAATACAAAAATTTTCTTAATCTGTAAATGTCTGCCAAAAAAAAACTAACAAATTGAATAAATAATTAAATACATACCTTACAAAATCAAGAGTGATTTTTTTGGATGAAGCTGCATGGAATTCACTTTCGAAGTATGATTCCAGAATTTCTTGTTTTGATAATGATCTAGCATTGCTTACAACTCGCCCTACGGATATATTTAATATACTAAGTGACATAGAACAACCATTATAAATTGTTTTATTTTAATAAAATTTGATATATACGCTTGTGTATTTGGTATACCTTTTCAATATTATATATACAGGGTGATTGATTAGTGTGAAGAAGCCCAGTAGATCTGTTAGTAAAAATTAGAAAAAAAAATTATTGACAAAAATTGTATGCAGCTTATGTCCACATTTTAAAATTAGTTACAATCTTACAGGGTGTTCCATAAGATGGTGGCAGACTAAACTTATGTTTTTTTAAAAGGAACACCCTGTATTTTATTTTAAATTTGAAATCTGCTTCACTTCCACATCACAACAATGTAAAGTTTTATTATGTTATACTGGGTATTTAAAAAGTTATAACCAATATTACCTGAAAATCGTATCAAGTTTAACTCCCTGTATAATTAAAAAGGAGTATAGGAACATTGATCTATTACAACCATAGTTTTTTAATAATTGTTAAAAATTATAAAATATATTCGTTTTGATAATATTCTTTAAATCAAATAGAGGGTAACTTAAAATGCAAGTACATTATTTTCTTGGTAATTTTAAATAGAACACCCTGTGTTTTATATCACTATCGAAAAGTACTAATATCGTACTTCAAAGTTTATGAAGTACTCCCTATACCCAAAGTTATCAGTTTTCTAGATATTTTTATTTTTCCATCAAATAATTTGGTAGATATTTTAACGTTTACCAATAATTATTGTAAGATGGCCATGATTGATTTGTCACAAACTGACAGTTTGACATTATTGTTTATTAATTCAGTATTGGGATACACAGTAAATTATGAACAATGATTATTGATTAATTCAGTAATCAATTCAATTTAAATTAGCAATAATGAATTTTACTACTGATGAAATGGTAGATATGATCTTGAAATTGGGGGAGTGCAATAAAAATTCAGTACTATCAGCTAGAATTTATCAACAACGGTTTCCAGATAGGCGGCAACCTAGACAAGATACATTTGAAAAATTGAAAGATCGATTTAACCGCACTGGTTCAGCGAATTATGAAAAACATGAACGAACAAAAACTAGTGTGACAGAGGAAAACGAAATGAGTGTGTTGATGGCAGTTACAGAAAACCCACACACAAAGTATAAGGAGTATTTCCAATGAACAAGAACTTAGTTACTGATCTGTTCAAAACATTCTATTTAAAAACAAGATGCACCCTTATCATATTCAAAAGCACCAAGAAATAAATAATGATGATTTTCAGAAACGAATAGTATTTTGTGAATGGGCCTTAGAAAAAATTAATGAGCAGAGAGATTTTTTTGATTATGTCCTATTTGGTGATGAAACTACATTCCATCGAAACGTCCTGTTAATAAGCATAACTTCAACTAATTCAAAGTAATCCATACCACATAGTAACACATAGTCAAACAAGATGGTCTCTAAATGTGTGGGGCGGTATCGTCGGTAACCATGTAGTAGGACCATATTTTTTTGAAGATAACTTAAATGGTGAGATTTATTTAGATTTTATCGTAAATCAGTTACCGATATTATTAGAAGAGGTTCCACGTAATATACGTGAACAAATGTTGTTTCTACATGACGGTGCTCCTGTGCACCACAACGATTAGTACGTGGTGAACTTAATAATCAGTTTGGTGAAAGATAGATCGAAAGGGATGGACCAGTAAGGTGGTCCCCAAGGTCACCAGAATTCAATAAAATGGACTAATTTTTTTGGGGTTACGTTAAGAACGAAGTATATAAAATACCTCCAACAACAAGGGATGATATGAAAAATAGAATCCGAATTGCATTTCAAAATGTTTCTTTACAAATGCTTAGTAATGTAAGCACTCTTTCAATGACCTCTTTCAAGTATGCATAGATGTTTTGGGAGGTCATTTTGAACACCTTACTTAAGTAAGATAAGTTAAAATTACTGTTGTTTTTTATTTTTCTATGTGTTGTTATTTTTTTTAATTTTCCGTCAGTTATTTTTTATAAATTTTATTTGAAATAAATTGTTTTCTTTTCTTTGTCTTTTACTCAAACTTGAGCAAGTTGATAAAATCGTCTATCTTGGACAGCAATTAAATTGTAATGCAGAAAATCACGGCGAAATTAAATCCAGAATAGAGTAGGCTAGAGCTGCTTTTAGAAGGATGTCCAAGGTGTTATGTAACAGAGACCTAAAATTGGCATTAAGGATCCGCCTACTTCGCTGCTACGTGTTCTCGGTCTTACTTTATGCTGTCGAGTCCTGGACTGTGAATAAAATCGATCAAAATCGCCTTGAGGCTTTCGAAATGTGGTGCTATAGAAGAATTTTAAAAGTTTCCTGGGTGGAGAAGATTCGTAACTCCACAATACTTGAACGTCTCAGCAAGACTACTGAGATCATAAAAAGCATCAAGCAGAGAAAGCTGGAATATTTCGGACATGTAATGAGAGGTCCCAAATATAGATTGCTACAAAATATCATGCAAGGAAAAATAGCAGGCAAACGCAGTCCAGGACGAAGAAGAACCTCATGGTTGAAGAACTTGCGAGACTGGTATGGTGTAGGTACAAGCATGCTATTTAGGGTGGCAGTGAATAAAATTAAAATAACTATGATGGTAACCAACGTTCTGAAAGGACATGGTACATGAAGAAGAAGAATTAATAAACAATAATGTCAAACTGTCAGTTTCTGACAAATCGATCATGGCCAACTCACAATAATTATTGGTAAACGTTAAAATATCTACCAAATTAATACTTTGATGGAAAAATAGAAATATCTAGAAAACTGACAACTTTAGGTATAGGGAGTACTTCATAAAATTTGAAGTACGATATTAGTACTTTTCGATAGTGATATAAAATACAGGGTGTTGTATTTAAAATTACCAAGAAAATTATGTAGGTACTTGCATTTTGACTTACCCTGTATTTGATTTAACGAATATTATGAAAGCGAATATGTTTTATAATTTTTAACAATTATTAAAAAACTATGGTTGCAATAGACCAATGTTCCTATACTCCTCATTAATTATACAGGGAGTTAAACTTGATACGATTTTCAGGTAATATTGTTTATAACTTTTTAAATACCCGGTATAACATAATAAAACTTTACATTGTTGTGATGTGGAAGTGAAGCAGATTTCAAATTTAAAATAAAATACAGGGTGTTCCATTTAAAAAAAACATAAGTTTGGTCTGCCACCATCTTATGGAACACCCTGTAAGATTGTAACTAATTTTAAAATGTGGAGTTTAAAGCTGCCTACAATTTTTGTCAATAATTTTTTTTTGTAATTTGTACTATAACAAATCTACTGACCTTCCTCACACTAATCAATCACCCTGTATATGTACTGTAATAGGTATTTAAGAATTCCTTCTTTTTATTATTTTTATGAATATAATATTCCCCAACATGCTGATACGTTACTGCGTCCACGCTTTTTTAATTTTTAAATCGCTCGTCTCTAATTCGGGATCGCATCTTAAGGAATTTAGATTCTGTAGAACTTAAACCTTTAGACACACTACATTTTCTAACTTCTGACCCTAAATTAGTCACACTATATGTTCTTTTCAAAAACACTTTCGCTAAATGTGACATCTCAAAAGAGGAGAAAGTTGGCTTGGTCTACAGCCATGTTTACAGCTACTAATTTTAGAAATGAAATTTAGAAAGTTTTGGCCACATGTCACTAGTATTTCTTAGGGAAGTAATCTTTCACTGTATAGTTTATGAATAAATAAAAAAAAATATCCTTTGCAATTAATTCCATTATATAGTTATTTCTCATAATGTCATAATTATTTCTCTAACGATTTTTGTGACATCCTATAAAATGTTTCGTCTAATTCTTACCTTTGGAATTGTGTATAGCCCTAAGTTCTTGATAGCTCAAAGCGGACGGTTCTGATAGATCGATTACTCCAAGTAGGCGCTGCGCTGAAGGTTCTGAATTTGGCTCAATGGATGGTCCGGTATCCAAAGGTAATGGATCCGGCATTGTGACCTTAAAAAAAGTATTAATTAGTATATTTATTGCCTAGGGCATTAAAGATAATAAAATATAGGTCTGAACCTATTTTCTTGTGGCACTTTAAAGAAATTACCACTTTATTGGGAATAAGCAACAATTTAAGTTGAAAAGAAGTTTATTGACTCATATAGTCATCATCATGAGATGTAATGCCAAAGCAGGAAAGTCTGATGAAAGTACTACAAAGGTTATTACGGACCAGTTCTTATTATTTTCTCGAGATACCCCAGTTATAAAAAATTAATGTTCTGCGTGCCATAGAAGGCGAGATATTGCAAAATTTTCCAGCGCGCCTCAATTTGAAGTTCCATTCTAAAAAAAGCGGAGTTCGGAAAGTTCTCCCCTCCAATTTAACGTAGCAGTATTTTACGAGTACATCACTTTAACGGGATACAACTTTTTTACATTTTCTCTACATATGTTATCTATAAATTGGATCATAAAATCTAGATCTTTACTCATAATCTGTTCAATATTCAGCTTTTAAAGTCAATAAACAATGGAAATACGATTTTAAGAATAAAAAATGCTACCTCGGTTCCTATTGGTCATAGAAGGTTATTTTTTTATTAAAGATTGTGTTTTTTTCACCATATTATTAGTGAGCCTACTTACAAGCGCGTCACATAAAAAATATCTAAGTTTTGTTTTTAAATGGCTTCGGCAGTTTGCCATACAGCCAATTACATGATCTTTTAATCTCAATAGGCGCTTAATAGGTCACTCGCTTCACGTCCAGGGGCCCATCAGGACATTCTACTATATAACATACACAGGAAAACCAGGCCACGGTAAATAGGATTAAACATATAAAGGAGAGAAAACAAAGGTAAAAAAGTAAAAACGATTGGCACAACCAAAAATTACATGATCTAGGTCGCCTTGTACCCCACATTCCACACAGTTTTTACTCTCAATCATATGAATTCTTGCAAGATGAGCAGGAAAACAAGCATGTCCAAATTTTAGCGTAGATATAGTTGTTATATAACGCCTAATTATATATTATAAGATCTATGCCAATGTGATACATGGACAATTGTGTAAAAAAGTGTATCTATTTGGGTTGGTAAAACAAAACTCAGACCATAGATCACTCCATTTATATTTTAAGACTGCCTTGCGTGTAACAACCAAATCAGAAATACTTAGTAGATATTTTGTAGTATCCACTGAATAAATACTTTGGCCAATTGGTCCACATGTTCATTATGTTTAATTCCACTGTGTCCTTTGAGCCATATTAATATCGCATTTTTTTTACTTTCTTTAAAGTGTTTCACTAATTTTTTAATTAATACAGGGTTGGACAAAAAATGTTTTTAAAAAAAAAACAAAAAACATGTTTTTTTTTTATTTAAAAACAATGTTTTTTGTTTTAAAACAGTTTTTTTTTTCATCTAAAAAAAACATTGTTTTAAAACAAAAAAACACTGTTTTAAAACAAAAAAAAAAAAAGTTTTTAAAATAATTACGTACTTCACTGGATTTCTAAAGGGGATTCCCATAAACCTCAACTGGCACACATATGGGCTTTGGATAAATGCCAGAGAAATACCTGCACCATGGCAGATGCAACAGACATTTGGAAGGACTTACTGGGTTATTTCCAAAGTGAAAGTGAAGCTCAATCTAACGGTTGTAGCAACGTGTTGGAACTTCATAAAGCAGAAGCACGTTTTCAACTGGCTATAACAGATGCGCATTATTTAGCTTATTTATTAGACCCTCAGTACTTAGGTCAGAAACTCTCTGAGGTGGAAGTTGATAGAGCATTGTTATTTATTTCGGATTTTCACCCAAATGTAATGCCCGAAATACTGTCATTTCGTGCCTTAGCACTGTACAACAGTACTAGTATGCTTGCTACCTGAACATAAATAAAGTTTAGTCAGTTACTTTTTTTGAGTTTTACTTTTTACTTAGCATTAATATTGTTATTGCACCTACTTACTCTATAATCTATGTTTGCAATTTTGCAAATTAGCAAACACAAATGTCTTATAACAAATGTTAATAAACAAAATAATAATAAACAATAACGAAAAAAAAACTATGTTTTAAAACAATGTTTTAAAACGGTGTTTTAAAATGCAACTGTTTTTTTTTTCAGTGTTTTTAACCATGTTTTAAAACGTTGTTTTAAAAAGCTTGTTTTAAAACAGCCCAACCCTGATTAATATTATGTAGAAATGAGTATGTGGTTTGAAAAAAAAAGGTTGGTTAATGGCTGCGAGAACTGACATGGAATCTGAAACAATAATAACGGAGGATGCCCTGTTAGAAACAAAAAGTAGGGCTTGATATATGGTAATAATTGCCCCCTCACTAAATATGGAAATATTTGTTTTTAATTTAAACATTTCTTCTGCCTTCTCCATGGGGATGTAAAAGGCACATCCTGTACCGTCTTCTGTAAAGTCCCAATTGGATAAGATGCTTGTTATAATGTTGTTTGCTCTTCCAGTGTTTACACAATTTGCTTTAATAAATTTAACTTTCGGTATAAAGGTAAGTGATCTGGTGTTTAATTTTTAGTAAAATGTTTTCGGCCAAGAAATGTCTTCTAAGAGAAATTGGAGGCTCAAGTGCTTCAACATAAAGGGGCTCAATAGAAATTGTCTTCATGGCACCAATACAGATCCGCAGACACTGGTTTATAAATATGTTTAATTTGTTTAGTAAGTTCTTAAATACAGAGGTAAAAATGAAACAACATACAAGCAAATACACAAGAATATCAGAATAAAGATCCAACAAGCCAAAGAAACCTGGCTAAGTGAAAGATGCCAAGAAATTGAAGAGTTGGAATATAAAGACATGATACTTTCAATCTACATAAAAAAGTAAAAGAAGCCGCTGGAATATTTAAACAAACTCTTACGTCTTTCATCGAAGATAAACATGGGAACCCGCTACTGAACATAGAAGATCAAATAGGTAGATGGAGAGAATACGTGGAAGAGATGTTTCAAGACCGAGAGATAACGAACATTTACATGCAGGAGGCATCGACTGGACTTATATCACAAAGCAAGAAATTATCAAAGAGGCAAATCAGTTAAAGAACGGAAAAGCTGTTGGGGAAGATAATATCCCAATTAAAATAATAAAGATATTACTAGACGAACACATCGAAGTAATGGAAGATATATTTAACAAAATATACGAAACAGGCATAATACCAAATGATTGGCTGACATCGGTGTTTATACCACTACTATAGATATTTTAAGGTCATGTAATATCGACGATAACCTACCAAGAACAAAAGGCTAAAATCAGAATAAAAAGCGAAACATCTGAAAAAATCAAAATCGAGAAGGGAGTAAGACAGGGATGTGTCCTATCACCTTTGCTGTTCAATGTTTACTCTGAGAAGATATTTCAGAAAGCTTTGGAAGGCACCTCGGATGGTATAATTATAAACGGGCAATGTATAAATAGCCTGCGATATGCTGATGACACTGTCATACTGGCAGATAATGCTGAAGCCCTGCAACGCTTAATGGACCGAGTAACGACAGCCTGTAGAGAATTTGGAATGAAATTGAATACAAAGAAGACAAAAACGATGGTCATCAGCAAGCACCAAAACAGAAGGGTGAAGGTCAATGTCGACGGAACAGATCTGGAAAGAGTAACAAGAACAACGTACCTTGGAAGTAATCTGGATGAAACTTGAGACCACTCACTAGAGATAAGAATACGCCTGGAAAAGGCACGTACAATGTTTTACAAAATGCAAAAAGTTCTATGCAACCGCCAGCTGGGCATCTCATTCAAAACTAGAATACTTAAGTGCTATGTTTTCTCCACCTTGCTCTATGGTGTTGAAGCCTGGACAATAACAGAAGCAACACAAAAAAGAATCCAAGCATTCGAACTCTGGTGTTACCGTAAAATGCTCAGAATATCCTACATGAGCCATACGACAAATGCGGAAGTCTTGCGGAGGATGAATAAGGAAAGAGAGCTTATGCTTATAATAAAAGAGCGGAAAACACAATATTTTGGTCACATCATAAGAAAAAAGTATGAACTGCTCCAACTTATAATCGAAGGCAAAGTCAATAGCAAAAGAGGACCAGGAAGAAGACGCAATCTCTTGGTTTAAAAACCTACGGCAATGGACGAACATGACCTCCATAGAACTATTCAGGGCTGCTACAAATAAGATTAAATGGGCAAATGTAATGGCCAACGTCCTTAAGGATAAGGTACCGTAAGAAGAGTAAATTCTTGCTGGCAGATCCATATAACCAACATCCATAATCAATGATAGAGCGAATGTATGTTCTACAAAAAAGTAAGGAAGTCTGAAGATCTGTTCCCCACCAAGTTAATTATATTCTATGTGAAATTTCCATGTGAGCTTGTGATCCATTATAATTTCTTGTTGTTTTACTATAAATGTTTGTATAAGTATTGGGAATAGTATGTCATGAAAATGGTAATTGCTGATTTTGTGGCTGACAGTTGAAGGTGGTTTTCTTCCAACCATATTTCTACAACGTTGTAAGTATCCATTAAAAATCCAAAAGCATCATCTCTCTTCTTTGTTTCACAGTATATGCTGAAGTCATTTACATATTGGATGATCTTAAAAGGATATTTTTCTAACTTAAATTTACGTAGGTCAGCTGTGTATAAATTAAAAAGAAAAGGACTGTGAAAAAAGAAGACAGCTCCTTGTGGAATTCCTGTAAAAAATATCTTGGAGCTAATAAATGGTTGTTAAAATCACTGACATAAACATGTCTTTCTGAATATAGTCCGATAATGGCATATACTATTCCCTTAGGAATTTTAAAGTCATTAATCATTTTTTTACTCAAAATATTTAAGCTTAAGTGTCATATGCTTTCTCAATATCAATAAAAATTGTTGAAAGAAAGTTATTTCTATAGAAATTATTTTGAATATTTGTTACTAAGGTTGTAAGTGCATCTAGCGTACCCACTGCTCTTTTGTATGCAAACTGACAGAGCCTAAGCAGG